GGGTTCGGATCCTATATGGGGATGGCCAGTGCGCTCACTGGCTGAGCCAGGTGCGGATAACACCAAGCCAAGGGTATTGCGATCCCCTTACCGGCCACACACACACACAAAAAAATATGTGTGTGTGTATATTTGGTGAAGATACTCAGGTTATCAAGTTATTTTTGGCTTGAATCATCTGTATATAATATAGTAATTGTATAAATGATTGCTTTAAGAAGATAATTCTCCAGAGATTATGGCGGCTATGTTACTAAGCTATTTTTTTTAATAGTTCAGCAATAATCTTCAAGCATGGTCCCTATTATATGTGACTCAATGACATGTCATTGAACAGAAAGCACAAATGCTTAAAAAGGTTTCTGAAACATTATTTACTCCCAGGAATAAAGACATTTGAAAACACTGTTAGTGAGTCTTCTCCCCCAAATTTTTTCTTCCCAAAAAAGATTTTTAAAGTGTCTGCTTAATTAATTGTGTCTTGTTTTCATTCACAGAGGCCAGCAAGCTTGTTATGTCCTATGTGGCAGCTGTTTGTGGAAAAGGAGCAGAAGTTAATCAAGTCAAAGAACAGCTTTTACAGTCCAACCCAGTCCTGGAAGGTAGGATTTTCTGTGTACATCAGGTCAACGTGAGTCGAAGAGTAGATTCAGTTTTCAGGGCACTTCCCTGGTGTGCTGAGAGGTACTCTGGGAGGGAGGAGGAAGGGAGAGATTCAGGCCGAGCCCTGTGGAGCAAATAAACTGAGTCCTAGGAACTCGGCTTCAAGTGCCTAAAGGAGGGAGCAGTTGACTCATGTAAAAGGAGCTTTCCCACTTACAGTCGTTTTTCTCCTTTCAATTTTTATTTGAATTATTTAAATGTTGCTGAAAGATAATCAACTGATATTTGCATCTGATGGTGCAGTGCTGTCTTATCCTTCAGGATAACACCTGTGGCTGGTTATTTCTATTGTCAGGGGAACACTTAAGGACCAGTTTTTTCAGTGTCGTAGAAAGCCGAAACCTGACTGTGGAGCTCACAGATTCTGTAGGCTCTGTGTATTAGTTCAGGCTCCCATAACAAAGTACCATAGACTGGTGGTGAAAACAATAGAAATTTATGTTCTCACACTTCTGGAGGCTACAAGTCCAAAGTCAAGGTTACGGCAAGGTATGTTTCATTCTGAGGCCTCTTCTGTTGGCCTGTAGGTGGCTGCTATCTCTGTGTGCTCACATGACCTCTTCTTTGTGCTTGAGTGGGGATTGTGAGTAAGAGTTGTTGGGCATAACTTTGCGCGCATGCACCCTGACGCGCACGGGCGCCAGTTCATGCGCTCC